TGCCAGCGGATCATCAATGTGCTCCAACTTTGTCACTGACGATTGCAGGGGCGGAGCGCGCTCACATCTCATCATTCTGCCAGCGGCCTTGATGCTATGCATTGTTTAATCGGTGCATAACCGAAAGTGTGCATCTGTGTGGTTGGTGGTGCAGATGGTGGCGACAAGGTTGAGGACCCATCGACATCTGCCTCTCCCCTTTCCTTGCAGGTAGTGCTATAGAAGGGTGACCGCTGCAACATCAGCGATCATTAGAAGGAGCCTTTGGTTGTTGCGTCTTGGAAGAGTGGATGTTGTGGAGATTGAGGTTGTTGTTGCTGTTGTTGTTGTCGTGACAATGTGTTGGTGAGCGTCGCTCTTTGAAGTAGATTGGGGGTAAGTGGTGAGTGGGTGGAGGAAGTATTATGTGCTGCTTAAGTGCAGTCAGATTAGCTGTTGGCGTGGGATGGTGGAGTGGAGGGTGTGCCGTTTGTGCGCACATCTGAAATGTGGCAGTGATAAAGGCAGTGCATCGACGGAGAGAGAAGTGGCAGTTGTGCTGCAATGACGGTGACTTGTGTTGGTGGGTGAGGTGAGGAGTGGTTTGTGGTTTGGAAGGGGGAGAGGGTGTGTGTTAACTGAGTGAGCTGGAGAGAATGAGTGAATGGGTGAATGAGAGAACGAATGAATAAATGGAAGTGGTGTTAGTGGGTGGAGGCGCACTGTGTTGTGTGTTGCCCAATTCTTCATACGCCTCATCCATGCCTCGCACACGTGCATGGTAGTGCATTTTTTAATGCTCATCCTTACATTTGTCTTCTAAACAATTGCATTTCTACAGCTAAGCACTAACGTATGCAGAAGCATTCGATTCATTTATCTCCATGTCCTCCTCGTATAATCTTACAGTCAACACCGAGAGCTCACTCTCATGTGGTGAGTCCATTTTATGCGATCAGTGTGCAATGCAGATGGATTTGGTCTGCCAAGCGTTGAAAGTATTTTGGAGCTGCTTCTCCACCCCAAAGCTACTTCGGAATGCACACAGAGGGATGTCGAGACACAAAACCAGCACCCACTCCCTATGCGTGCATGCAGGTTGTGACTAGAAAAGGCCTCTGCCTTGGCAATTGTGTTTCGACAAAACGACGGATGCGTGGATGGATTAAGCAGTAGTAGAACTGGGAGGAGCAGCAGAAGGAAGAAGAGGAGGAGGGAGTTGGCAGCTCAAGATTTGCATTAAGGACGCCATGGTGCCCTGATGTTGTGATGGCAAAGCAGTCCTCATCTCAGGTGCAAGCATTTCGCAAGGCGAAGAGTTGACGCAAGAATAAACACCATGCAGCACTCCTTGAAATAGGTGATATGCATTGCATAAG